CACCACCTTTGACACACCATCTTTCACACCACTTTGTCACACACCATCTTTTACCACACAATCCTTCACACACCATCTCTCACACACCAGCTTTGACACACCATCTTTGACACAACATCTTTCACACCATCTTTCACACACAGTCACAGACCCATCTTTCGCACACCACTTTGTCTCACACCATCTTTCACCACACCATCCTTCACACACCACTTTGTCACACACACACACACCATCTTTCACCACACCACCTTTCACACACACACAACTTTGTCTCACACCATCTTTCACCACAGCATCTTTCACACACCACTTTTTCGCACACCATCTTTCACACACAACTTTGTCACACGCTCTCTTTCACACAACTTTGTCACACACACACACACACCATCTTTCACACACAACTTTGTCACACACACACAACTTTGTTTTACTTCTCGGTCCTCCACCACCTCCTTTGTCTGTCCTTTCTTCCCCGTCCCCGCTACAACATTTGGTGCTCATTATTGGAAGACTTTGCCATGTGGGGTTATCTGGCCCTTTAACTCTGTGCCCCGCAATGTTCCAGCATCGCTTAGACACAGAAAATCATTAGACCAAAACACAACCGAAAGGCAATTGCTGACCAAGTGAGCTGTAAACACAACAATTTCTGAGCACTAAGTTTGATCATTCGACACCACAACAATCTGATTGAAAATGTTCACTTGCTTTGCATATGACACAATTCCAGAAGCCGCTTGTGCAAGCCAACGGCTGCATACAATATCCTTTGGCCATGCAATGTGCCATCTGCTTTTCCCACTTACGCGTCGCGTCCCTAGCCCTTGCCACATTTTTTGCCAGAGCTTTGCTACCTGTGTTGCTATTGCTTTTGCCCGCAATGCAAGTTTGCCCTTTCGTTGCCACGTGTGTTGCCAAGGGCTTTTGCTCGCAGCCAAAATTTTGCCATTCAATTTGCCGCCTGTGCTTTTGCCCCCGCCAAGTATTTGCCAGTGTTTTTTGCCACCGATGTTGCCATTACATTTGCCCCCGTCGGTTTTTTCCATCCATGTTGCCCTGCAGATTGCCACCGCCATTGCCATTGCTTTTGCCCTCAAAGTTGCCATCTTTGTTGCCATCAAATTTGGGCGCCTAATAGAGCATTGTTCTTGAATTTTAGATAAGTTATGATGGTGAACGCTTTATCATTACTGTGATCACAACGCATGAAAAAACTCCACATGTCATGGGTTTCAGATTGATGGATGATGATGAAGTACCCCAACCTGCAGTGGAACTTGAGCAGGCACAACACGCTGCAGGTGACATAGCGCCCATGGCCCCAGAAGATGAGGTTGTGGGAGTTGACATTGGAGATGACATGCAACAAGATGCAGGTCAGGCCATTGAGGGACAGTTGGTTTATGCGCCAGACAGAGGAGATCACTTGAATGTCAATGGAACAGAATTGTTTCCACACACTGCCTTAGCAACTTTGCGTGAAGCTTGTGGGTTTTACAACTTGTCACAGTCTGGAGGGAAAGAGCGATGTTTCAAACGTTTATGGGAGTATCAAAAGAAACTTGAACTTCAAACTGCATTAGCAGCAGCTCGTGAAACTGAAGCTGAGCAGATGAGACAGCCAAATCCTCAGAAACTGGCTGAAGCACCTGATGAAAGAGCTCAACAACTGCATATGCTGACGCACTTACCTTTTCAAGATTGGTGCCCCCATTGCGTTGCTCATCGATCAAGGCCAGACAGGCATTTGAGAGACGGTTCAGTCAAGGATTCTGGTGTTGCAACAGTTTCTTTTGACTTTGCCTATACGAAGGCAGTTGCTCCAGGTGGAAACGTGCAGGAGACAGAACAGGTGATAGCTTTGGTTTTGGTGGATTCAGTGACAAATTTCACAGGATGCGTCCCGATCTCAAAGAAGAATGACTTTGATTTGATGGTGCGTGAAATTTTGCAATTCACCCAAGTCCTTGGCCACAGTGAGTGCACCTTTTTGTGTGACAATGAACCAGCAATCATGCAAGTTCAGAAGCGTGCAGTTCATGCAAGACAGATGATGGGCTTGGTGACTCACAGCAAAACTCCAGCTGCTTATGATCATGGGAACAGTCTTTGTGAAAACACAGTGAATCGTGTGCGTGGACTGGCAGGAACCTTGATGCACTCCGTCCAGGAGAAGCTTGCAATTCAGCTGAACACCAACCATGGACTTTGGAGCTGGGCTTTGAGACACTCTAGCTGGTTTCTTAATCGTTTTGCGGTGGTTCATGGTGTTACGCCCTATGAGCTGTTGTACCACAAAACCTACAAAGGCAAGATGACAGAGTTTGCAGAGCCTGCATTTGCATACGCGCACACAGCTTTGAAGGGCAATCCTAGGTGGCAACGAGTCATTGTGCTGGGGAAAACTGAAGCTCAAGATACATATGTAGTTTTCACTGGACAATCAGTCATGCTGACGCGCTCAATCAGGCGTATCTCAACTGACTGGAAGTGCCACTTGGGTTTCTTCTTACACTTCAATGCACCAACATGGAGGTCCAAGGCAAGATTTGGAGGACGTGTGGTACCTACAAAAAGGACTGTTACCGCCCAACCTGCAAGCTTTAGTGCCCCTCAAGGGAATGTGTTGCCCTCTTCTTTTCATGACCAAGATGCAGAAGATGTAAAACAGAAACAACTTGAGGAAAAGGCAGAAGAGCGTGAGACGTTTTCCATGGGTCAAGAAGACCATCCCAAAGAACCTGAGAAGTTTGAAGTGGAGACAATGGAAGGCTTGCAAGATGCTTCAATCCCAAAAGAACATGCAACTGGCTCAGAGCTTTCACAGCCAGTGCAAAACCGACCAAAAAGACCAGGTGAAGTTGAGGTTACAAGCGTTTTTGATGATACTGATGCGTCTTTTTTGCCTTCAATGGAAAGTCAAGTTGATGTTTCTCAAGATCCCGGCATGTCAGCACCAGTGACACCTCCAGTGATTCCTTTGCAGCTGCCCCCAACACCACGGCAGCAGCATCCCACGAGAACTCATGAGATGGAAGAGTTGGAGGACCATGAGTCTAAACGTGCCAAGCTGGAATCTCAGAAGAAGCAGAAAATCACTCAAATCAGGGAACAGCATGAATCAATGATCAGAATGGTCAAGTTTGGTGAGGAGGAGTTTGCAACGATGGATGACTATGAGCATGAGCTTGATGTCAACGAGAACATCCCAGAAGTTGAGTTTTGGGAGGATGAAGATAAAATCGAGTTCAAAGAGGTGCCAGACGCCTTGTGGTCAACAGCTTCTCTGGAAAAGCAGCCACCCTCGCCAGAGACATGGGTGGATCAACTGGCAGACGAGGTTGAAATCCAGCGCCTTCTTTCAATGGGTGTTCTCCAAAGACAGGAGGAGTGCCAAGATGAAATCTCAGGCACTTTAACAACACGTTTTGTGTATGACTGGAGGATTAAAGAACATCCAAGTGGAGTCAAGATGTGGATGAGACGAAGTCGTTTTGTAGCAAGGGAGTTTGCAACAGACCGCAGACCAGATACATACAGTCCTGCAAGTGGATGCCATTCGACAAACCTCATCCCAATGCTGTACCTCAAGATGTTGGCAGACAGTTTGGATAGCGTTGAAGGTTTGGGAAATGAAAAGGGTAACCCATACCAAGTGGTTTTGGCAGCCTTAGATATCAAGGACGCCTTTCTTCAGGTTCCACAGGAAAGACTGGTGATGGTTTCCCTTTACAACCAGCAGTATGTCATTCGACGCAATCTCCCGGGCCAGCGTCTTGGAGCAAAGGCATGGTATTGGTATTTCAGAAAATACATCAGTGAGACTCTAAACTGTACTTGGTGCGTGGAACAGCCTTGTCTTGCAAAATGCGTAGCAGGAGGAGTTTCCAACTGCTTTTTGATTCACGTGGATGATCTTCTTTTTGCTGGCAGCCGTGATTTCTGGGAGAACAAATTTTTGCCAGCAGTTACAAGCAAGTTCAACGTGAATTTCAGTGAAATCAAAGATGATGGCAGTTCCATTTTCTTTCTCAAGCGACAGTTGCTGAAAGTGAAAGATGGGTTGTTGATTGTGCCAGGCACCACAACTGGCAAAATCGTGGCGTACTTTGAGAAGTTCTTCGGTGTGGCCCGACACCAAAAGATTCCATGTGACAACTCAATTCAGAACGATGACAAATCTCAGTTGCTGAATGAAGGTGACAGCAAAGCCTATCGCAGTATCATCGGTCTACTCCTTTATGCAGCAAGAGACCGTGTTGATGTGATGTACTGTGTGAAGGAACTTTCATCATTCATGTCATGCCCTACAGTTTGTGCGTTGCAGAAAATGAGAAAACTTGTAGGCTACCTCAAGGCCACAGGTGATATGGGCATGAAGCTCACCTTGCCGGAGTTTGGAGCTGGTAAGTGGAAAAAAGGGTGGTGAAAAGTTTTGGAACGTTGAGACCTTCACAGACGCAGACTGGTCAGCGCATAAGGCGCACCGCAAAAGCACAAGCTGCGCTGTTCACTTCATCAATGGCAATTTTGCATACGCTTCAAGCCGAACCCAAAGAGTTGTATCATTGAGTTCAGCAGAGTCAGAACTCCACTCAATGATTTCAGGCTGCTCAGACGGAATCTTTCTGAAAAGGTGCATGCAGTTTCTCACAGGTGATCAGGTCGAACAGTGGCAGTGGGTTGACAATTCCGCTGCAAGACAGTTGATCGAACGTCAAGGAGTGGGGAAAATCCGCCACCTATCAGGAAAGATTTTGTGGATGCAGACGTTGGTTTTGGAAAAGCAAGTTCAGGTGGGACAGATTGCAACCCAATGGAATGTGAGTGACATAGGAACAAAACCCTTGTCAAAGCAGAGACTTCTCATTCTTCTTCATCAAGTTGGAGCATGCGACCCTGAGACGTTGGATATGATAGGGCAGGAGGAGTTTGACAGGTTTGAAGAAAGAATTGTTGGACAGCAATCAATGAAACGTATGACGAAGGCTATCATGCGTATGGCATTGATGTGGGGCCTTGAGCCTGCTTTCAACATTGGAGCAGAGGCAACAAGCACTGAGGAGGTATGTCTTCAGGTTGAGTCTGGAAGTGGCAATGAAAACTTTTGGTTGTGGCTTGCGTGGTTTGGACTTTTCATACTTTGGATTGGTCTTGCAACAGTTGGATATTTTGCATGGCGCAGAGTGTCCACAGACCTATACCATTGTTGGAATCAAGTTGGTGATGAAGATGGATACATCGCCAAGCAGGAGAAGCGCATCGATGACTTAATTGTGAAGTTGGAGCGCATGCAGATTCAAATGGAACAAGACTATGCAATGCTTTCTGACCGAGTGGAATCAACGAGCAACGAGGTTTCCATGACGCACGATTATGCATCAGGTTTGCACTATAGCCTGGTGGAACATGGTGGATTTCTGAGAAATGGGTGTGGGTTGAGCCGAGAACAATGGGTTCACCTCACAACACTGGAAAGAGCCAATCTGGTTTCTGCAAGGACACTTGGATCGGTGGAATACATGAGACTGGTTAGACAGCGTTTTGCCCCCCAAGGTAATGCAGATGAAACAGATGTTGGTGCTCCAGAAGGAGATGAAAGTGAAGCCATGGACGATGACGTGCCAATGGAAGTCTCAACTGGAACAGACTCAGTGACAGACATAGTGGAATTTTTCAAGACCGAGCACTTGAAATGTTTGCAGAGTGGTGACCTCTGGGATGCCAATGAAATTCAACACACAATTCTTGGTTTCTTAGAGGAGGTCAGAACAGAGAACACGAGTTCAATGCTTGAACGCTGCAAGCAGAAGGTGGTCGAGATGTTTGAAGAAATGTACAAAAAGGCGACAGAGCAAAACCGATGGGAAAGTGCAGATCATTACCAAATGGTAGCTGACATGTACCGAGATGGATGAGACAAAATTTTCTGGCAGAGTTTCTTTTCAGATACAAAAGCTGGGAAGGAGCGTGAAGCAGAATGGAAATGTGTATTGCAGAGCTAAAGGCTACAGCAATACAAGGAGGAGTGAGAAATATTTTCACTTCACCATTTACTTTGAGAGACAGTCTGGAAACATTGCTGTGCAGGTATGCATTCAGGTTGAGTCCAGACAAACGCCAGTGGATGACACACACACAAATCGAAACGAGAAGTGTACAAAGATTCATCCATAGCACATAAATTGATGTGCATACTTCAGGCCCCTGAGGTTCAAAATAGTGTTGCTGCCCGCTTCGCATCTTCTGCTCCACCGCTGGGAGCTCTTGAGTTTTACTGTTCTGAAAAGAATGCGCCAGCGTGTGGTTACCAAAGAGTTTGTCGGGAGACTTAAGGGGTCAGCCTCCCAAAATTTGATTTCGGACCTCGTTTGGACCTCGTTCGCACCTCGTTGGGACCTCGTTATTAAAATTGCAACCAGGCAAAATGCAACCCGGAGAGGTTTTGGAAAGGCTTTGCAATGGTTTGCTGTTTGGTCTGCTGCTGCTGCTGTTGTTGCTTGTGTTTCTGCTTCTGGGCAAAGCGCGGTTTTTGGGCAGAGAACCCAGAGATTTGTGAAAGGGCTGGAAGCTGCGCGGAGGAAATCAAAAACATAAGAAAATGAACCTAAAAAAAATCGATCCGATCAGCGGTGTGCCATGAGGAAGTGGATGAAAAGGCATGAAGTAGAATTTATTTCTTGGTCAAAATTTCCACTACAGAATGCTAGGCCTTGGGGCCCACAATAAAGCCTCTAAACCCTATGATTTTATAGTTCCCTTGTGACCGTGTGCAGAAGCAAATCGTCGCAGTCGAATTTTGTAAGGCAGTGAGATCCCAAAAAAATCAAGATAGCAGTTTGTAGTAAGGATTTTTGATCGATTTTTGACGATTTTTTTTTTACCTGAATAAACACTGAAAAAATACAATGGCAACTTGTAGTGGTTTTCATGGTTCTATCACATGAAGCAACAAGAGACTTCGTATGTTTTCATGACCAATTTGTAGTGAACCCGTTGTTTCACTCGGAATTGAACAAAATCAATGCAGCGCACAACGCAATAGCATCGGGGTGGATATTGTGCTACAAAAAGGGTCAACACCTGCAGCGTACAATCGGGAAATTTACTCAGTAACTTGAAGCAGTTATCATGCGTTGGTTGTTATCAAAAACTTGCGCACTGATTGGTTGATTCTGCTGCAATGCTTTCTGTAGTGATTCGACTTGTACCCATCCAGTTTGTAGCAGTTCTCTTCATGTTGGTTGGTTTGGGAGGGTTAAGGTTTGCAGCCGTTTTATCTTGCTGCATTGTTCTTAAAACATCTTAAAACTGGTACATACTGGTACATAATTTGATATATCTTTCATTTTGCTGCCTGTTTTCAAGTAAGTTCCTGCCTTGGGCTGGTTCTTGCTGTATTTTTTTACTGACTTGTTCATTTATCAGCCACTGCTGTCAACACAAATTTGCGCACAGAATGGATTCTGCTGCAACGTTTATGTAGTGATTCGGCTTGTCCCATCCACTTGTAGGAGTTTTCTTCATGTTGATTTGTTTTGGGAGCGTTTGCAGTTGTTTTATTTTGCGGCACGGTTCTTACAGCAGGTACATAATTTGATACAGTTTTCATTTTGCAGCCTTTTTTCAACAAGTACTTTCCTGCCTTGGGCTGGCTCTTGCTGCATTTTTTATTGAGGTGTTCATTTATCAACCGCTGTTGTCAACACAAATTTAGACACAAAATAGATTCCGCTGCAATGCTTTCTGTAGTGAATCGACTTGTACCCATCCACTTTGTAGCAGTTTTCTTCATGTTGATTTGTTTTGGGAGCGTTTGCAGATATTTTATCTTGCTGCGTTATTCTTAAAGCAGGTACATAATTTGATATAGCTTTCATCCGTGAAGTTTTTTTTTGTTGGGGTTCTTTTGTTGCCGGTTTTTTTTCCCCTACTCGAGTTGGTGCCTGGAGGGGATTGAGGCCAAAACGTGTTCCACCCCTCAAAAATGCAACTGGGAGATTGACCCGTGAGATTGCGTGGAAATTGATCCATGTACATTCTTGGAAGGAAGGATGCATCATGGTCACAATATGCACTCCCTTGTGCTGCTTTTCTTAGTGACAACTTTTTTGGGGCTACAAAATAGTAGGGACAGGGTTCCTTCGACCAAGAGCGAATGAGCAAACCATATCGCTACAAGTTGCTATCGGAAAAAATGGCGGATTATGTTGGATGCTGAACCATTCACATGTAAAAACACTACAAACGGTCCCAAGACTTTATGTTGCGTTTTCAGGATTTTTTAAATGACAATTTAAGCAACTTGTGGTAGACCTACTTGTTCAATGATTTAGCAAATGGTAGTAATTACAAAAAACCATGGGCACCCTAACATGTAGTAAAGCCACCCTAAGGCCGCAGGATTGTAGTCTACAAATTGGGGACCCAATTTCACCCGTCTAATTCCAACGGGGATGAATTTATCATAGAACCCATAGGAATGTAACATCGATCACATCAAGTTGGTAAGTTGGAAATGCAATGAAACTTGGTGTGGCATGCGGAGGATGATAGTTCTGATAACAAGTGTATATTAAACGCATAGTAAATAGATATATTTGAGTTGCCTGCTTCAGAAATAGTCTACTTTGACCGTCGGTGTGCCAATAGGATTTCCACCAGGCGGAAGATTATTGATGTTTGGCGTGACCGGTGTGCCATGCGGCTGGCGCAAGTTCTAGCAAATGGCGTCGGATCACGCCGGGGCTCGTACCTTGCACTGGGTTGTCGAGGGGAGTGCCCTGTTCACAAGCAATTTAGCCGTTGCTCAATTCTCCCCGGGAACGCTGTAGGCATGTCATTTCCGGGAAAAAATTGGGAGCACCAATCGCGTCGTTAATAATACGAATTATAGCGGATGCTTCCGTTCACCGGTGCTGCATCGCTCACGGTCAGCATGTTCATGACAAGCTAAAAACGTATCCTCAGTCTTCAATTTGACACTCACATGAAGTTTCCATTGCGTTTTCACAATGGCATCAGTGGCAAACTTGTTTTGACGAATTTGCAAAGATGTCCCTGGAGCAATTGCGCTGGTTCTCATGACATCGCCATACGAGATTCCAACATTTTCTTCTCTTGCAACTTCTAAGCCAAGCAAAATTCATTCTGATGCTCAAGGCGGGCCTTTGAGCCTGCCTGCTGTTTAGTGGCCGCCATGTTACTGAGTAGGAATTTCCTTATCATGTTCCCGTGCACACACACATAATATATATATATTCAACACCCCTTTCGTGGGGTGTAAGCATGGGGAACGCTCAAAAAATGTAAGCAACAATTTTGACACGATCGTATTTTTTCCCGATGGGGGAGGCTATGTGTATGTTAAACCCCTCCGACGTCAAAAACCGAGCCTCGGAAGATTTGCATTTGGACGGGGGGGTCGAGAATCCGTAATAGATACGTCACCCCATACCCCCCCTTGCCCCGCTGCGTTTTAAGGAGAATTGATGAAACCCTATAAAGGATGAGGGGAACTAGGAAATTTTGCAAATAAAACTGAGTTCAAACAATAAATGCTTGCTGACATTTACCAGGCCCCCCCCTCAAAAACGTGCAAATTGTATTTTGCAATTTGGGTACGTCCCCCTCTTAAAAGGGTAGTGATCATATACAAATATATACACACACACACACATATATATATATATATGTATATACATGGAGCGCATTGGTTTTTTAGTTGCCATTTCTCTAGAATCGAAAACGTAGTTCTTCCACAAGGAGAAACAACCCGCTGAATTCTGGAGACGGGCTGCTAAATACCGGAACTCCATTTGCCAAATCCTAGACAATTTTTGCTACATATTAGAACCTCATTGGTAAATCTTGGACACCATTTGCTAAATACTCAACCCGCGTGCTCAATACTAGAAATTATTTGCAAATTTCTAGAGACCACGTGCTAAATATTCGAAAAAAATACGACCTAATTGCTAATTTTTACAAACGAAATGTTAAATACAAGAAACCATCTGCCAAATATATACTAGAAACCATCTGCTAATCAAGTATATGGGATTTGCAGACGCCCTTTTTCAAGTAAAGTGGAAAATGTAGAAACAATTTCCTAAATAATCTTGATTTTCCAAGAACAATCACTTGAATCAAAGGGGTGATATTTGCACGTAACCGTAAAAATTGTTATTTGCAACGTTCCATTTTGGAACACGGATTTGCCAATGGCAGTTTATGGTGAGAAAAAATTAATGTCTTTAACCCCACATGCCAGTTTAATAGTACTAGAGCCTCCTTCACCCATGGTTCACCACACAAAAATTGTTGACCATTGAAACCATTTAGAATCCAATTAGGAGTGCCATCGCGCCATGCCAGTTGTAATGCTGTTTCAATCCAGGAGGGGTTATATCAAACAAAAAGATAAACTAATACCCTGTGCTCGTGCAGTTTTTTGCCAAATGCACCACACAACGCCGCGAATACTTCCACGCGATACCCGCAAGTTGTGGGATTCAAAAAAAATGTCCACGAAAAACACCAATGTGATTGATAGCCTTTGCTACTGCTACTACCACTACTACCACTACTACCACTACTACCACTACTACCACTACTGCTGCTACTACTACTACTACTACTCCTACTACTACTCCTACTACTACTACTACTACTACCATTACTACCACTACTACTACTACTACTGCTACTACTGCTACTACTACTGCTACTACTGCTACTACTGCTACTACTGCTACTGCTACTGCTACTGCTACTGCTACTGCTACCGCTACTGCTACGGCTACGGCTACGGCTATGGCTACTGCTACTGCTACTGCTACTGCTACTGCTATTGCTACTGCTACTGCTACTGTCACTACTACTGCTACTGCTACTGCTACTACTACTGCTACTACTA